TGCAGTGGTGCTCGGCGGCGAGGCAGCGGGAGGTTGTCTCTGGTGGGAGGAGCAGGCTGGAAAACCCAAGCGCTCTCGCTCGCCCGCTCCAAACCACTTGGGAGAGAAAATCCGTGTAACTGCCGAGAGGAGGAACATCTGATCAGGTTGCTTTTCAGGATGTTTGTGGAGGCTGCTGGCTCGGGGCGGCGGGTGAGCCGGTCCCAAGTGCTTCAATTAGCGTGAACGTAATTAAGGAGAAGACACCCCAGGAGGGAGGGCGGTTTATGCCTAAGGAAGGGGCCCAAACTCCCAGAGAGTTTATAGATGCAAGTATATCGTCTGTCTGCACAACACGCGTACGCAGCCGTGCTTTTTTCTTCCCTTCCACACGTTGTTTTTTTTAAAGAAGTACAGATGGGGAGAGACTGTCCAGGACAAAACCAACAGCACTAAATTATTTATAATGCAATGATTATATATTCACACACGTAGGCATGTAAGTCTGTGCATAGAGCCCCAAGTCACTTTCTCCAGCTGGCAGCGGGGACAGTTAATGGAGAAGCGTTAGAAATCTGAGGGGGGAGTTATCATGTAAGAGTCGTAAAACCAGCAGCGTTTGCTTGGATTGGAACCATCAACCTGCGCGCACGGGCGGTTTATGCCATTACATTATCCTGCTCCCTCGCCTTCCCCTTTCCTTCTGCTCTCTGGCGCTCGCCTTTGTGCGATGCTGTCTTGAGATGGACTGCCAGCTTTTTAAAGCAGTGCCTTTTTTGTTTTTTAACTCAGTGGGTGTAACGTCTGCAGTAATGGAGCCCCAGTCCTGATTAGTCCAGGTAGATGTCTACTGCAACAGTCATAATAATAATAATAATAATAATAATAATAATCTCAGATAACAAATGTAGGCTACTGCTTCCCAAATCTCACTTGGAAAGCAAGGAGAAGGCAGGATGGAAGGGTTTATCTGGGTCACTGAATCCAGCCCAATGTAATTTCAGGAGCCGCATATATGTACACTAAGTTTATGCTGACTTTAAGATTCATTCGTTAGGCAAAGGAGGAAGAAGAGGGGCAGGGGATAAAGGAGGTCAGTGTTGGTTTTTTGATAGATTGTTCATCTGATGTTTTCAGACGAGCAATATCCAGTCATATCCAGCACCAGATCCTGCATCTGTTCTGGAAACTAATATTCAGCACTTCTTTTAGCTTTTTATGTTTAAAATCCTTGTGTAAACGGCAGGTAACTAGTCAAAAAAGCTGCATGGGAAACACATTGAGTGATTTAGTGTGTTTGTATGCATACATGTGCACCTCTTAATAACAGGGAAACTGAGGCATGACAGCGAAATGACTCACGGAGCTATTGAAATAGTGGTAGAACCAGCATTAAACTCCTAGCTCAGTCCTAACACATGTTTAGGAATGGTGGGGGCAGAGAGGTTGTGAAGCCACATCCACCTTAGGTAACAGGAGAGCACTTGCTAAACTCACTGGTGCTAATGGGGGTGCTCAAACGGCACCGCTGTAGCTGCCTTCCCATTGCTCCCCACTAATGAAAACACCCATACCCAAGCAGTTGCCTTTTGGATGCCCAGTTAGGATCAAACTCTGCAGCATCTTTTGCACTTCCTGAGGAGCAGCAGTAACCTGCTTTTAACCAGACAGGTATTTGCCTAGATTTCTCTCTTGCCGAGGGTGTGGTTTCTAGATCAGTTTAAGCTGATCTAAAGCCAGGCTCCTCCTGAGAAAGATGGTTTTTTTCTCATCCCAGCCCAGCCTGGACCTTCAGCTGTGCAACCCCACCCCTCTCCAAGGCCTGTACTAACACTTACATCCACACACAGGTCAGGAAGCTGGTTCCGTTTTGAAAAGTGATCTTTTTTTTAACCATTTATGTATTTGTTTTTGCTGAATTAATTTTCTGCTGGATCAGCTCCTTGTTCTGACTGACTATATATTGTGCTGGAACTAGGGAGGCCACAGGAATGTACAGCTGGGAGCAAGGAGAGGGTGTCTGGGCTGGGCTCCCTTAGGTTGGCTTAAACTGGCGGTGGAAGGGCAGACAGATGATTCAGTGTCCCTCTGCTCTCCCTCTCAGCTGCCGATAATTTGATTTTGCCTTCTTTTTTGTTCCTTGTAGTTTGTTTTTCCCAAGTTTGGGGTGTTGGCCTTTCATCAAGCAGCAGCAGGGCAAGGCTTGCCTTTGTCATGGACAACGAGATGAAAAAATTCTGTAAGGAGGGAAGAGC